AAAAAAAAAAAGTCTGGGTCATTTCGCATCTGTTCTTTCAAAGCAAAACTTGTTTCCACTTGACACTCTTTTTCCTGGTCAGTCAGAACCCGAGGCATAAATTTTGCAGCAACCCTTCTCATTCCCAAATCTTGCATTGCATCTCTTCAATGGTCCATCATTGAGCACAAGTGTATGAATTTTGTTGACATTTTTGTACATTTGGGAAGTTGGCAGATGTCTAGAATGAGGTTTGTCATCAATCGATTTCTTTCACCTTTTTTAAAATGAAAAAATCACTCGTACGCTTGAGTTTTTCCCATAGCACTGTCCTGGTAAGCTGGGTTCAACATCACAACAGTTTCTGTGGCATTTTTCTCGAGCAGGAAACAAAATTTCACAGCTGCAGTTGCTCTCTTAAATCTGCCATCACAGATTTAAGAGGTCCGAGCAAAAGTGCTTTCATGAAAAAATTCACTAGACCAGGGAGAACCTTTCCAGGCAACGCCACTGGGTGCACTAACTCAGAGCAAGTTGCTTGATGCTCGCCTATCGGGAAAAAGGCGTTCTACAAAAGCTCCGCACAGCGGAGCTTTTTTCCATTTTTTCCCCAGGTACCCCCTAGCATACCATCAGACTTACAAGGACGGGTGGGTTTTTAATCAATAATTTAGCTCATAATAATTTAGTTCTAGTTGTTACTGTAAAGAGTTGAGAATGGGGGCCTGAAAGCTTATGAGAGGGTATCTAAGATGAAATTTCTGGTCTCGTCCTGTCCAGACCAAAGGTGAAGAAAACCCAGACACATGGAAACAAGGAGGGTGAGACGCTAGTAGACCACATGCATCTCAGCCCCGGGAGACCAGAAGAACTAAATGGTGGCCAGCTTCCACTACCAACCTCTCTGAAACGGATCATACTAAGGCCTTCGATAAGGCACCCTGACACAGCAACTTCATTGCTACAAAATTAAAGAGGAAACGATCAGAATTACACACAAAGATTTCAAAGTCATTCAATACAGTGTTCATTCAAAGAGGAAAACATACAACAGCATGGCCTCAACATTTAAGGAATAAAGGGTTCGGTAGAGGAAATGTAATCTAGACATGACACAATATTAAGATGAAAGGAACAATCTATCCCGACTGCTAGTCTGGGTCCTGCAACCAAAATGTGTATGCATTAGGAAGCTGTGCCCAAGATGCTCGTTTCAAAAGAGACATACTCTAATGAAAAGCACACTGGATTGGGATTCTAATTCCAATTTCAATAATAAGTAACCCTACAGCCCATGGAAGCTCTCTGGTTTCGGTATTTTCACCTAAAGACAAAAGAGTTGACACAAATCTTTGTCTCTAATCGTGGTCTACGGCAATGTGCTGAAGCTATGTGAAACCACAGGATGAAGGTGGCAGGGCTTCCTGGAACACCAGCCTTACTTGCTGGTGAATAATTTAGAACCTGGTACGTGTATTAAACTAGACCCACATAGTAGCAGCAGAAGAGCACGTATTATTATAGATAAAACAAAACACCAGGCATGCGAGAAACTCACTGTCACTTTCTAAAGAGTCACGGTGGGTTAACACCTCAGACGTACCCTTTTTCTCCCTGAAGAGCTGCCTATTTCTTTAGTGAGTAAGTCTGAGGAATACTCAGCTAAATGAGTGAAAGTCACAGAACAGAGCTGAAGGTACGACAAGAGTGGTAAACGGCGACTGAGACCAGGAAGACGTGAATGTCTGCGAGGAGTGTGCAAACAAGGATCCAGCTTATGCTGACACACAAAAACGAATGCACTCGTCACGCCAATATGGACAAAGGTTGTGCAGAGGTTCAAATAAGTGGAATACCTTGATGAAGCAGCTGCACTCGGTACAAAGGAGGCAGTGAAGTCAACAGGCACGTGTGTAAGCGCATGGCTAGCAAGTATCTCAAACCACACTCGTCTAGCGTGTCTCTTCCTGTGATTTAAACAGAACATGTTTCAGGAAAAAGGAGTGCAAAGAACCACAGACCTAGGAAAGGTATCATCAGAGAAACTTAGGAATAATTATCTCAAAATGGAGAGGATTATTTTTAGTGTATTCCTTTCTAAGCGTGTCATCTTTACCACAAAAAATGAATTATGAGAATTTCTAAAGGAAAAATGATTGGAGAGAATATAATTATTATTACAGGTTATATACTTACTCATAACAAATGAAATGTGGAAACCCAATAAAAACATATTGACAACAGTAAGTCTGACACATTTTCCTTACACATTTCCTCTATGAAGTTCAGTAACATTTAAAGACAAAAAATACGTAACTAGAGTACAATTCTTGTTATACAGTTAAGTGGGTAACATTTTGTAGGCTGGTTGGCATAACTGAAAAATAGCACTACCAAAGTTTTGAGATTTACTTCCCTTGGCTAACAAGCATTCCAAGGTTAAGAGAGTGACCCTGTGTAACCTGGACTCCACGAGCTTCTGACTAAGTGCACTGTTAGTCCAAAGCTGAGCAAATGAGGAGAGTGTGGGCACTGCCACACAGAGCAATGTGAAAAAAGACCAGCGACCTCACACAAGCACCACTCAAAAACTGTTGGATTAAATAAATATTTTCTAAACAAAAATATTTTAAATTTCTAAAGTATTTTAAATTTCCAAAGTTCAAAAATCACAGCTTCTCACTAGCTATATCGCTTGACTCATTCATTCACTAATTCAACTAATTAACATGGCAGGCATGTTTCAGGTATAGGAAAGAGGACAGTGGATAAGAACAAGTCTCCACCCTCATGGAACTTCCATTTGAGAGGCGGAGACAAACATTAAACAAATATACGCTACTGGCGGAAACAAAGCCAATGGGGGAAATAAATCGGGATTGTGAGATAGTTTGTGCAGGAGTGGGAGAGTTCTCTTACCTACGGAGGCTGGGGAAGAATTCTCCAGTAAGGTACATTTCAACAGAAATCTGAGGAGGCAAGGAAATGAGCCTTGCATAAAAACCTGGAAGGAGAGCTCTCTAAGCAGAGGGAAGCGTAAGTGTGTGCCCAGCTGCGCTTGTGGAACACACATGTGGGGGCCAACAGAATAGGTAAGAAATGAAGCAGCTTGGCTTTTATTCTCCACTGAGAGGAAGGTCAGTGAGGTGTGATGAGCAGGAGACACTTGACTTTAGTCTGTTTTAGAGGAATCATGGCTACTACACAAAGAAAAGGCTGGCTCACACGAGCAGAAGCAGGTAGGGTGCTGAGATAATAAAGAGACGGAAGGTGAGTGGCTCAGACCAGAAGAGTATCAGTAAGTGTGGTGAAAAATGACTGGCTTCTGGATACCGTCGAAGTGATAGCAGTGGCCAGTGGATTGGATACAGCCTCCAAGCTGTCTCACTTGAACATCAGGGAAAGTTTACTGACTGAGATGTAAGCTAATTTAATCCTGGAGCTTCAACTTCCTGCTGTGAAACGAACACATGCATTCGATCATGCTGCGTCTACCTCATGGATGTCCAGCAGAGTCAAGATGAGCTGTTTTTTACATTGCCTGGTCAGTGATATAATTTTGCGACAGCATGTCTAACCCATTTTTCACAAATGTTGGAATGCCTGCTTTTTAATGTCCCATGTTGAAAAAATTTAAACATATTGAAAAATTTAACGTATGCAAAAGGATTAAGTATCTTTTGGGGGAGAATCTTGCTCTGGTACACAACTTCATAATTAGGGGGCTTTTTTTTTTTCAATCCTCAGTAACATAGTTAGAAAATGGGTCATAACAGGCAAACTCTCTAGTGACTTTAATTCACCTACGAGGAAGTGTGAGAGATTCAGCGTGAGGGTGTAGACCGGCAGGAAGCAGGCTTTGAGGAACTGTCTTTTCCCCACAGATTTGGAAATTTTATGAAACCGTGAGGGGGACTGAGGCCAAGGATTTAGCCACATACGAACTGAATTCCAACCCCACTCCTCGATGCCTGTGTGATCCTGAGGACACCTCAGGGTCTATTCACCTATAAAACGAGGCATCACAGTGATCCACTGGCAGACTGTCATGACAATTCGACCTGATACAGTATTGAAGATGCTCGGTGCATAGTAACTTTTCCCTCGTCCACAATAATTATTGAATGAATGAATGAGTTTTCGTTTCCTTCGCTAATGCCATCCTTTATAAACAGAACCATTAACTTCAACTCGTGATTATACACGTATCACAGATCCATAAAGCCACATGCAGGAGTGCTTTATGCTCCGGCTGCCTCTCCTTTTGCAATCACGGTCAGTACGTTATGTAATAGTACCTGACGATTAAAGAGGCCGTTTCCCACCCCAAGATTTAAAAGAAACATTGCAATTCAACATTCAAATCATTGTATGCATAATACAACTATTTCTCGGAATGAAAACTTTACGCATTTCTAGTGAGGATAGTTACCTGAGTAACTCTTATCTCTGCTTTCATCGAGCTCGGTACTGGTGGTAGCCACTGTATCAGCCAAAGCCACCAGGAACATCTGTTCCAAACGGGTAAGGCCTGGCAGACTTGAGTGCATGAGATGGCTTGAAAGTACCCGAGCATGTTCTTGGCCAAAGTAAGCTGGTCCATACTGAGAAAGATTTATTACTTTCGATTTGTTTTCTCGCTTTTCTGGCTCTAGATCAATGTCATCCGTTGTTATAGCCTGGATTTGGAACAGTTCTGAATACTGATCCCCCGGCTGACTTTTGGTATGATCCTCATAGCTCTGTGCCATTTTCGTACTTTCTTCCGGAATTCTGTAGGTTGTATCTTGATCTGCAGCGAGCAATGCGTGTAGCGGTAGAGGAGGAATGGAATCTATCTCGGTATAATCTCGGGTGCCATCTTTTCCTATGGTGACGGTGTCCTTTGCTGTGCTGCCACTTACACTGATGGTTCGAGAGAGATGTCGCTTACCTCCTTCTCCTGCATCAGCGTCTCTAACTATGGCAACTTCCCCTGCAATACATTTTACTAAATGAGAGAGAATGGCTTTGGCCCTTCGAACTTTTCCTAAATCCATCAGTTCTAACAGCTGGGTGGGATGGTACTGTGGGAGCGTGGGGGAAAGCACATGTGCCGCCTCAAACAGGCCGCCATCTTGAACGACAGTTGGCGAACAGAAAACATCATCAGCAATGGCTGCTCCTTCAACAACACTTTTTCTGGACAGCATGCTAGATTTAAAGGCAGCGTGATCTTGCATTGCCGTCTCTTCTGCGTCAGGACTATCAGCTTCGACGTCTCCAAACTTGACAACGTGCTTCCACTGTGCGTACACATGCATTTCACAGTCCATTCCCACCACCAGAATCCCATCCCTTACCCAAGAGAGAGACACAGGCAGGGAAGGCGTCCCATCAACAGAGGAAACCAAGTCTACGGATCTGAGAAGAACCCATCTTGACCTAACTCCTTGCTTGATACTGCCACCTAGTGGTAGAGTAATGACAGCTACTCCGTCCTTACTGCTCGTTTGCTCAGTCATAATTCCCGAAAGCCTCCCATACATGAATATGTGAGCACCGACTCCCACTGTGAGAATGTGGGAGCCATCTTCTTTGGATACCCAGTCCAAATGTACTAGATGCTTTATATTGGGAAGAAGGTATCTATCCTTGCTCAAAAATGCATCCGATTTGCTGTACACAAACAGATTGCTGTCCACACTGACCCTTGAATCAAGTACACTCCCGACCTTAACCGAATCATCAAGATGAATTGTTTGTTCTAAAACCCACTCTGACCCTCCTGTAGATTCACACTCAAATATACAAACATGCATGGAAAATTCTTTAGAAACAAAACCATTTTGGTGGATAGGTTGCTTGTAAGCTACTGCAAGGCGGCCTGTGTAGGAGCAGCTAACAGCAACCGGTCTTCCCACAATGCTCACTGTACTGCTATTATCTTCCCCTTCATCGTTCATCAAGGGCCATCTCCTCCAGTGGTACGTTTCTTTTGCATCACTCTCACATGCCGAGTTGGTTTCCAGACAGCATTTCCAGAAGCGCACTTTATTGTCAGAACAAGTTGTAACCACCAAATAGGGCGCAAGACACACTGGATAAATTGAAGAAGAACTCAGGTGACCTTTGAAAAAAGGATAAAGCAGAGAGTCATAATAATGGAACCACAAAATAATGTGCTAGTAATCAAATTCCAGGATGTGATCAATGCAAGGCCACTGTGAGCTGTATCAGGATAGCTTTGCAGGGCCCTCCTAAAGTCCTGCCATTTGTCCCGCACTAAGTGTCCACTGCCCAGGGTGGCTAGAGAAAACTTAAATAGTGCCGGGGAGTCATTCTGACCACCTGCTGATGGCCGCCCTCAACCAGATGAGGTGCCTGTGTCTCTCTGGCGTCTTTGTCTCTTGTAAGACGTAACATTCTAAAAGGAAAGAAATCTTAAACAGCCTCTTTGATGAAATCAAAATACGCAGAATTAAATTTAAAGAGGCAAATATTGAATTAAATTCAAACTCAAAGGCAATGAAACCATCCCTACTTCATAAAGCTGTTATCTATCATAATGCATAGATGCCTTTCCCATAATATGCCTCACTGGATCTTTATTCCTTGTTTTTTATTATTTTCATCATAGAAGGTTAAGTAGTCATTTCAGTTTGCTCTTCAAATATCCTAAACCTCTCCATAGTCATCCAGAGTGACTGCTGCCATCAAAATATTCACGGCCAGTGAGGCCGACTCACGGAGTTCACCCATTTTACCAAGCTTACTTCGAGTCTCCTTATCACTGCAACAGAACTCACCTAGTTATTCCTGCCTGCCAGAGACGACCACTGTACATTTATCCTACACTACAGTATGAGGGTAAATTACGATTAAGATTTGGGGGTCAGAAGTCCTGGGCTCAAGTTCCAGTCCACTAATACCTCCCTAACAGGTACTGTTAAACACTTTACTCTCTATGCCTATTCTTCCAAATAGCGGGGATCATGTGGCGATTTCTTTCAGTGTTATTGAAATATATTGAAAGCGTTTTATTTAAAATCCCATACAAAATATATAATTTATTATTACCAGCTCTAATAGACCTGTTTGCGTATCTCTCAAACGTTCAAACTATTTTAAAAGAAGCCAAAACTGGCCTACATTTGCACCTGCTGAAAAAGCCCAGAGTAACTGCTTCTCAAGGTGATTCAAGTTGAAATTCAAACCCACCTGCGGCCTGAGAAGAGAATGTTCAAGGCCATTCAGCAATACCTGGGACAGTTTTGAAAGCCCAGTTTTGGTGCCACAACATACTAGTCTACAAACCCCAATTAAAACTCCACACGTGGCAGATGGTTTAAAATACATCTGCCGGTCTCTTCAAACTATGTGGATCTTATACGTGTGCTAAACTTCAGATTGTTCCAGGACAGCCAACAATGGTCTTTCACCCTGGACTTTCTCCCCAAAGTATCTGTCAACCTTTCTTTAAATATCCTAAACGAGAGTGAGATATGACTAGCACAATGTTACTAAAAAGTCTGAATTACATAGGTTTAAGACATCAATGATTCACAAATAAACATGTGTTCTTTGTAATGATACTATTATAGTATTGCTATGCAAGAAAACTCACATTTAAATATTTACACAATTTTCTGTCAAACTGATCACATTTAACACAAAAAATTATTTCTCACAAAGACATGTTTCTGTGCAGATGTATCATTACTAGAAAATAAACCTTTATTTCAAGGTCAACACGGTACAGACTATCTCAGAGCAGCACATGATTTGATCCACTGAAGATCACTCTCCATTACAACTACCTACAGCCTTAGGTACGTCACCTGCTGAAGGTGTTGCCCTGATCACTTCCACTCCTTCTGGGAGGTCCAGGGGTTGGCTATATACCAGTCTCGAACTCAAAATAAGTTTACTAGCCGTCTGCAGGTTGGCAATTGATGAAGAATGTGGCATGTGGCTGGCACTCGTAGAGACTTCCGGGGAAGAATCAGCTGTCTTCTGTCCAGGGACTGAGAGCAAGCTCTCTGAGGACACACCTTCTACAGCTTTAGCTTTAAAGACAAATCGTGAAAGGTATTATTATAACAACTGTACACATCACCTAGAATTAGATTTCATACATCAGTTTTTAAAGTATCTGGGTGACATGATCACCTCTTAGATTTTTACTAATTACCTCAATACACCTTTTTCTTTTAAACTATTTTCCTCTTTTTTAGCATCACCAAATGAATCACCAGAATACTCTCAGAGAAAACCATAACATCTAAGTGCAGGGAAATTTCCTCCCTGGTTTTTTAAATATTGAGAGTGGTCTTTTCTTTCTTACTCATTGTTTGTATCTTTATCTTTATATTATTATTTTATCCTTAACTTTTTATTTTGATTTTGTTTTTTATAGTTTCTATTGGGATTCCCAGTTTGTAAAGCACAGAAGCAGTGGATGCATAGAGATAGTAACTGATGCAAGGGTTTATAGGGGACTGGGGTGTGTGTGCGCGGGAATGGGAGGGAGGGAGCATGTGGGGATTAGGGGAGAAAACAATGAATGAGGGGGGGTTGAGGGTGGGAGACAGGGAATGTGAGGGGATTTGGGGAGTAAGCAATGAAGGCAGGAGAGGGGAGGGAGCACTAGAACTGATTGTGATTAAAAAACTCATTTTAAAGGTGATTTAATCATGGGGGGTGTTCTAAAATTGATTGTGGTAATGACTATGCAATTCTTGATATGACTGAACTATTGAATTGTATGATGTGCGGATTAGATACCAAT